TCCTAACTAGAACTTCAAAAAGGGTTTAGCACCTCTAATATATTCCAACATTATAGACTTTAAGGTTCAGTTGCAGAGCCCCACAAACAAAAAGTTAGTCCTACACAACATCTAATGATCAGTCTAGAACTGCCTACGTGTCGAATAAGAACATATTTAAACCACTATTTTAAGAACTAAGCTAGTCCTCTGACAGCAGAATACCTTACAATTTAGAGAAGGGTTGTTACATGCATTAAAGGTGGGCATTTGGTCTAGTGGTATGATTCTCGCTTTGGGTGTGAGAAGTCTCGAGTAAAATTCTCGAAATGCCCCTTAGCTCATTAAAACGTTACTGAACCTGATTTTTGGATCTGTATTTTTAAAATTTAATTTTCCTAGCACCATTTTTATGCCCTCGGGATTCCTTTTTGCTTTTTTATACACAAAAGTCAAACGGGTCCATAGCTCAGTGGTAGAGCATTTGACTGCAGATCAAGAGGTCACCGGTTCGAACCCGGTTGGGCCCTTCCTTTTTGATTTCGTGTTTCTAACTCCCCCATATTTCTTTCCCATATGTGAACCTAATAATACATATGTTGTTCTCTTCCTAATCAAAATATATATGTTGTTCTTCCCTTGGTTTGCTGACATCCTAATTCTAGTTGTTAAAGCAGATATATATGATTTATTTCTACAAGAAAATAATAGTAAATCTTGTTTTGAAGAAAAAACCAACCAAAAGAATATAGCCATAAATCAAAAGTTTAGACTTCATCTTAATCAGTTCTCGATAAAGTATATAAAAAAGGTTGCTTTCCAAGGTGGGTAAGCTATTGCCTTAACTGTAATATCGTAGCATCGGGAAACATTAGACCTGCCATAACCAGTCAATATTTGGTCTGCAGGGAATACAAAGACGGTATTTTCTAAAAAAAAATCTACATAGCTGCCTAATTGTACTATAAGCTTATCTTTATGGCAATATTCTATTGCTATGTATTAGAAGTTTGTTGCAGAACTTGCATATCTAAATTTAAAATTGTATAAACTAGCTTCGTTACTAGACATGGTTAGTATCGAGATTGAGCAATTGGTCTGGTGGATGCTAGAGGTTCTAAGCTAATTCTTGGAATGCCCCACTTCTTGTTTCTCTTTAGTTTCCTTAAATTCAAATGCATAATAGCCCAACTGTCTTGTTAGCTTGCCTTTATGCCTTTTTTTTATTAAGCTAAAGATGATTATAAAGTTGTATATGTTCTAATTACTCTTAATCATTTGACAATGAACGCTCAATCACCCTTATAGTCGTTGGTGTTCGAACCCATGTCCTCTAGGAACAATAACAATTTCTTTAATCATTGAGGTAAGTTGGTTTGTGCGCTTTTATACCACTTTATGGCTCTAAGCCATGTATTCTAAGTTTGTCACATAGTGTGCATACCTAAAAATAAAGTACAAACTAGTTTAATCACAAAACACGTTAATGGCTAAGGTAGGGCATTTGGTCTAGTGGTATGATTCTCGCTTAGGGTGCGAGAGGTCCCGAGTTCAATTCTCGGAATGCCCCGCCTCTGTTGCATTTTAGTTTTTTTCCCCTGCATTTTAGTTTTTTTCCCTGTGTATAATCAAAGAATCTGATGCGAAGTCAACTTTACCAGTAAAATAATATAGAGGTCTGATACCTTCAGATCCATTTGGTTCCTGACAAGATACCTTTGCAGACAGTTAAATAAAAAGAAATTCTGCTGTTGTCAAGAGCTTCTTTCTTGTACCTTCAATCTTATAGTCATCCGAAAATGAAAATCTGTCCTTGAGCAAAGGGCACCCGATAAACAGAAGAATATGTATTTGAAGAGCATGTCTAAAAATCCGACTTTTCGTTTTCTTCAAACTTCAAAGTACCTGCATTCGGATATAAACTTGTCCAGCAAAGGGCAACCAATTCTGTTTACGTTTGATCTAAAAGTCTTCAGATATAAAAGACCTGCCTTAACCCTGCCAAAGGAAGGAATCACGTACAACAAGCATGTAGTCAAGGGACCTTTGAGGAGCAGATCTTAAATACTTTGATGAATAAAATGTTTACCGCAAGAAAAACATGTGAAAGAGAAGTCTCAATCGTCTATCTTTTAACCAACATAAAACCTCATTTAAATGTTTTTTGTGCAATGACAATATTAAACAGAGCGGCAGAGCCTTACAAAGGCGCAGAACGTCATCAAGGCAGGATTCATTTCAGAATTCTAACTAGAATTACAAAACAGCTTAAGCAGCTAAAGTAGATAGCACCTCTGCATATTGCATCATAATGGACTTCAGGATTCAGTTTACTGATCAGTCAAGAACTTCCTATGTATTCCAATAAGAACATATCAAAAACCACTAGTTTAAGAACTCAGCTAGTATTCTAACAGCAGAATAACTTGCTAACAAGTGAGAAGCTAGACATGAATGTTTAGCAGAATCTTGAAGCAAAAAGCTTGAAAGTAAAAGAGATGTTGCATAAAACATCAGATATGGATGGGCATTTGGTCTAGTGGTATGATTCTCGCTTTGGGTGCGAGAGGTCCCGAGTTCGATTCTCGGAATGCCCCAGTCCCTTTTCCTTTTAGCATCCTTCTCTGTTGCCATTTTTAAACACTAGCCAAGAGTAATCTAGCCTAAAGTCATCTTTAAAAGAAATATTTTTTTGTACCATTCTAATGTGGTCCCATGCTAGTATTTCTCTACTTTCTGATTGAATAAAAGAAATGGTCACACTAGACAGTAAGGCCTGGCCCTTGCAAAGGTGCAAAAAGCACCTGGTCAAAGATGGATCATGCAGGATCCTTAGTAGAATTACCAAATGGCTTTAGTAGCCAAAGTAGATAGCACATATACCTATTTTATCAACAAAAGAATTCGGCATTCAGTTTACAGAGTCCTGCACGCAGAAGTCTATCCAGAGACAACGTTTAATGAACAGGGGACAGTGGAACTGATTATCCAACGTGATCTTTAAACTAGCTATTATAAGCAGTCAGGCAGCACTCTAACAACTTGCTAAACAGTAATCATATTTGGTCATTAAAGTTTATAAAGACTTTGAATAAAAGATCTAATAACTAAAAACTGACTATTAAACATAAGAAATGGGAACTTCGATATACTCTGAATGATTATATAGCTTAGGTTGAAAGAGGTCCCGATTTCAATTCTCGGAATACGTTCAATTCCTTCTTTTAACTTCCCCAATTTCTACAACTTGAAATAATCGATCATAAGAATCCGGTACAAATTCAACTTCAATTAAGTGCACACTGCATAATATTATAATACTTACTCAAGTTCAGATTAATTTGTATTCTGGCAAGATACCTAAATGGTGAGTACCAAAAATAAATAATACATAAAAAGTTATCAGTATACCTACTTCTGCTATTTTATTAATTGCTGACATGTTACCCTATGCAAGTAATGAGAAGAAGAATAAATTCTCGCTTCACAATATATAATTCAGAGTAAATGCAAAACATTAAATATACTCTGAAAAAAGTGGAAATTGAAAACTCATCTGGCGTGAAACTTTTACTTACCGTGGAGCCAAAATCCGCAAGAGCTAGAGAACTGTATATAGATAATAACTGGAGAGTCGTCAAGCTCCATAGCAGCAACTTATATATAGGCGATAACAGGTTTGTTTCTGAGGAGTTGACAAGCCGTTTGGATAACCGGAAAATAGAAGGGGAAAAGGAATTAGTATATTGAATTTGCTTTGGAGTTATTTTTCGCTTTATTTCAAGTGAATTTACTAAGCTCAAAATGGACTCCACAGTGGAAGCCCCGTAATTTATGGGATAACGACAAAATTTTTAGTTACGTTAAAAATTAATTATCAATTTTTTTATTTTTTAATTAGACATTAATTTTGATGTCGGTTGCCGACAGTTGATTCTCTTTCCTCTTTATTTTTTTAAATTTTTTAATAAGAATAATTTGTGATACATTTTTCTATATTTTTGTTGCAAGTTTTTTGTCTTTTTTCTCGGTTTTTTTGTTGTTCGTTTTATTTTATATCTCATGGTTGGATTTGACGACGTCATAATTGATCAAGATAACACTTATTTGTATCTTGTTGATATTCTCTGCTATCAACTCTCGGATTGAATTTGGATACACGAATTTGCGTTGGTGGATAGTTTTTCACGACACTCGGCTTTGATTTGTAGTTCTCAGTGATTTTTCAATAACTTAATCCCTTTTGTGATTTGTTTGTCAAAGCATTTAGTTTTGTTTGTATCTATTTTTTTTTGAGCCTTTTGGTTGGGTCTTTAATCTTTTCCATATATGGTCCTTATGTGATCTGAAGTGACTAGTTTTAATGTTATAGAAAATGTCTAAATTATGTATTTAGTTTACGAGGATAGTTATAAAGTCTTAATTTTAAATATTCACTTTTTTAATAAGATTAGTGGTTTCTATTCAAATTATATATAAAATTGAGTCAATCGGTTTCACTGATAAAAGAGAATGTTGATTTTCCTAAAGGTCATGAGTTTGAGCAACAACGTTACAGGGTGTATATATATATATATTGTCAATAGGTTAAGAAATCTCTAAACAAATACTACTTTATAATCACCTCATATTACTCAAAAAAATTATATACAATTTTATCAACCACAAATTAAATATCGAATTTAATTTAATGATTTAATGTTATTCAGCGATTGAAATAGAATTGGTTCCAAAATTTAATGACCAATAAGATAATTTGCCATTTTTAGTTACACATTATATTATTTTTAATTAATCATTTGTTCACATAGCACGACTGTATTATATATAAAATTATAATATCTAATATTTTCAACAAAAAAAATCTAATAGTATGGGGATTTTACTTTAACTATTTAATATCTTTAAAAACATATATATAATAACCAATTTTAACATGCCAAAGAAGAAAGCACGTCACTTGTTCCCAATATTTTTTTGATTACAAATATAATCTTTTAATTACAAGTAGAAAATCCATAAGGGAAAAATATCATCCAAAAGGCTTTTATTTGATTCAAAACGACGAAACGGTTTACCATGTTCAGTTGTTTACAACTCAATATTCTGTACATGAAACAAGATTAAACAAATTTATGCCCCACTCACCCACCAAACTATATATATATATAATACCAATGATTCAAGCCAAGTTGGAAAATTAAGACCATGGTCCCAGCCACGGACAAACCTTGTTAGAAAGACAACAAAGACAGCAAAGTGAAATTTTGAGGGTTCAATTTTTTGATTTTGAATGCTTCACAAGCCAATCGATCACCGTATCGATGTTGGTTGAATTCTTGCATGAAATCATATAGCAGCAAACTTCTCTGTCCGTAATAGACTTCAGCCCCCTGCATAACATCAAGGACAAGTTTTCAACGAATTAGTGACCGTCGGATTGGTTATATCGGGCTAAAATGAAGATTTTAGAGTTTAATTATTTTACTTACATTTGCTCTGTCAAATTTTCCTTGGACAAGGCTTCTGGTTTGTCGATCTTGTTTCCAAGTACCAGCAGGGGAATACCATTCAGTAAGGATTTACCTAACAGGTCATGGAGTTCTCTTCTCGAGACGGATAAGTTATCAGAATCAGCAGCATCAACGACATAGCTGTAGATTGCAGAAAATTGCAGTAAGAACTAGTTGACCATAAATACGGAAGACAACATGATGGTGCAAATCAAGTATTTTCTATCCGGCTAATATAGCATTTATCAATCTATGCCGTTTACATTCTTAATTTGCAAAGCGAATTGTGCGTAGGAAATTACAACAATCAGTAGACGAATGACGAAAGAAAATTAGAATAACCGGTAACTCCGTGTTTAAGGTCATGCTAAGATATAAGCATAGTAGTGAACCAGAATTTATGAAGATAATTTCCCACCTTTTTATTTCCTTCAATTAGATATTCGGATTTATACTTGCATATTTACAATTGTAGCATATACATAGCAGCGTTTTTCTTTCTAATTTCCCCTTTTTTTTTACCTAACAATTCACTTGTGCTTTTAGTTTAACATGGTTATCCCGAAGATAGAACATAAATCACTCGGAAGGTACGAAGTGGATGTTCCCTAGCATATTAAGAACTTGAAGGACCACCCAAGTTACATTGGCTTTTCGTTTTTTCCTAATCTATCACATACTTGAACATGCATATCATAGAAAAATTTAATGACGTGTTCCAAGTTCATGCTATAACGAGAAAAATATTAGCTAAAAAGTATGAACTGCATACACGATAGCCGAAACAGCACGGCAGTATCTCTCCCACATACTCCGGAACCTTGGTTGACCCCCAAGATCCCATAACTTTATTGTGACATTTCCTTTAGTTACCTTCCTCATATTAAACCCTACCTGCAAACATAAAGAAAATTACAAGAAACAAAATAAAATGAAAACAAAAACTTGTTGCAAGTGAATTAACATTCTCAGGAATAATTTTTCATATTGGTTCTTTGCCATGTGACTTACCGTTGGTATCATATCTTCACTATATCCACCAGTCTTGAAATAAGATGCGGAAAAAGAAGTCAAGCTGTCAGGACCAAGCTAAAAGAGACAAGATGCTAACCAAATGAAAGGAAAAAATGATATCTCACATAAATGCACTTACAGCAATGACATTAACAAGGGATGTCTTTCCGGCATTCTGGAGGCCTATTAAAGATAACTCCATTTCTTGCTTGAAAAAGAGACTACAAGGAGAAAGAAAATAAGAATGACCATGCAGGACATTTAATTCAAATAGATTGGATTAATATGCAAAAAACAGAATACAAATTGAGAGCTCTTTTAAAATTATAATGCAATCCCTTGTTGTTTGTGTAATTCAAGACTTGGCAGCTTGCTAGTTTGGACAATCCCCTCCCAATCAAAAAGAAAAAAGAACACTTACAAAACACTTCCTATTTCAAATTCGAGTTCTTCAGTCAGTGTAACGAGTTCAATGATGTTGGGCTAGGGCAGTTAAGAGCACTTTTTAGGTTAGTGATGGACCGCTTCCATTTTACCTAGTTCCGTACAACATCAAAAGTGGGATGTTGATGGTTGGTTTTATTCCTCACTCGCACAGGATAACTCGGTTAGTTAATTGGTTAATTATCACCACTGAAAAATACACTGCAAAAAACCAGCAAGACCTCGATGAAGACTACTCTAGGATAGCCCTGCCCCTTGTTTAATTCTCCCATTTGTGTGCACTGTCCAAATCCGCACATAACACTACAGTGATCACTTAGATGATCTCACTGTAACCAGATATCATTATCTCGAATGCAGCAACAAGACAACCCAACACTCTTGCTCCCCTGAAGCTGTTGCGGTTGCTACTAGCTGAAATTATCACTTTCCTAAATGCAGTGCCAAAGAAACAAAATTCCGTGCAATAATCGACATAATACCTCCACAAAAACACATAAACAGAAATCCAGTATAAAAGCATGCCCAAACACCTTGAGCATAGATGAGAAAAACATCTTCTCCTCGCAATCTTTTACAGGTTACCAAATTCAAGCACTCCAACAGTGTAGCTAGCTAGCGAACAATCTATGAACTATCTAGGCAGCAATGTTTGGACAAAATTTAATTATCCATCAACCAACTATCACAAAAGAAAAAAAGAAAAAAGAAAAAAAACTTCGAATCTGGTCTTTTAATCACAACCATACGTATGTAAGTGGATGTTCTTAGCATCAAAACATAGCCTCGTTAAAAGGGAAAATAATCCCATTAAAAAACTTATATAAAAAAAATCCACAACTTCACCGTACTGGTTCCACACATTTATGTACTTAATCAAACTATTAACTATCAAATTAATAAAATTATAAACCGAAATCAGTAACAAAATAAGTGAAGAACGAATATAAGCAATCACATTTTCATTTTTCTCGCAAGACATTAGCCTAAGTTATATTACAACTTTAAGATTAAAAAAAATAATTTCTTAAAATTTTCACTTTTGTTTCGCATTAAAAAACAAGGAAGAGAACTTACCTTCGAAGCCAATTGAGAAAAGCTTCCCATAATCCCATTTCCGATGATAAAAAATAAAAAAGAAATTAGGGCTTCGGATTTGAGCTGAAATGATCTGCGGAGGAAAATAATAAAATTTCGGAACGCCTTTTTAGGCTTAGTTACACTGATTGAATTCCCTCGCTATTTAAATCAATGAATTTTAGGGTAAACTATGCGAATAGTCCCCATTATTTTCGGTCTGACTTTAGTCATCAATTTAAAAATTAAGGGTACATGGTCTCTAATATTAACGATCCGTTTGATTTTAGTTCCTAACGTTACCAATTCATTCGATTTTAGTCTTTCAACCGTTAACTCCCATTCAATTTTATTCCCTTAGCTATGTTAGATATTCATTAAGGGTTAACGGTAAAGGGACTTTAACCAAACGAACTGATAATGTTAGAAACAATTTACTCTTAATTTTTAAATGAGAAAATAACTTCAGTGACCGAAAATGCCTTATAATATACGATTTTAACCAACTTTTTTTGGATTTACCAAAATGACCAACAAATTCGCAACCCAGTTTCCAATTTCGCAACGTGAATATGTAAATCGCATTGCGATTTTCCAGCGTTGCGATTTTCCAAATTCGCAACGCGATAGTCAAATTCACAACACAAAAGTCAAATTCGCAACGCGAACTCCAATTTCACAACGTGAATAGTAAAATCACAACGTGAATAGTAAAATTGCAACGTGAATAGTAAAATCGCAATGAATCTATATATAAATTATCTCTTATCATCCATCTATAATAGTTTGTTGGAAAAGTACATAAATAATTTTTATAAAAAATATTCGTACATTTGAAAAAATATATATATAAATGAACAACAAATCTATTTCATTTTTCAATTTTCATTACAAATTATTATAAATTCAATTAATTAAATTTTGAAATTTGAAAGAATCCTTAACTCAGACTAATGAATACATTTAAAAAATTAAATTTTGAATTATATTAAGAAAAAGTTGATTCATGTACACATGTAGATAAGTTTTATTTTCCACTTAAAATCCCAGTCTAAAAGCAGAGAGTTACCATTTGAAATTCGCAACGCGATTTTACGATTTTCTAAATTCACGTTACGATTTTACTATTCATATTGAGATTTTACTATTCACATTGCACTTTTTACTATTCACGTTGCGATTTTTACTATTCACGCTGCGATTTTGGAAACTGAACTACGAAATTGGAGTTCGTGTTACGATTTTGTTGGTCATTTTAGCAAATCCAAAATTTTTTTATTAAAATCGTATATTATAAGACACTTTCGGTCACTGAGATTATTTTCTCTTTTTAAATTGATAACCAAAGTCAAACATACCCTAAACAAAAGGGATTATTTACATAGTTTCCCAATAAATATAAAATAACCTTAAAAATAAATAATAAAAAACACGAAGTGATGATATTAAGGTTCCTAGTTGGTTTGCACGCGCCAATGATTTAGGAGTGGATTATTAAAGCCAATCGTTAGTAGGTACTTTTGACAACAAAAGTATTTTTAAGGAAGCAGTCTAAACGACACCGTTTCTCCTACACTTAAGCTTTTTCCAGATTTGTCTGCTGCATTGTTCAGGTTGTCGGTTAGCCTCCGTAGATTGGATGGGTTCAAATGAAAAATAACATTTTGTAGGTAAATTGCAATCAAGTCCTTTGATTTTAAGCAAAAACTAATCTCGGTTCATTTATAATCGGGTACCTTATCCTTCGGGTAGTAAAAAGAAACAATATGTGTCTCAACCCGTGAAGATCAAGTACTTACAAGAAGAGCTGTAAACGAGTCTAGTTGAACTTGAATATTATTGAGTTCAACTCGATTCAAAATTTTTGAAATGGAGCTTGATTTGACTCAAAAACTCACGAGTTTAAAATTTTCAAACTCGACTCGAACTTGAAACCATGAATTGAAACTCGAAAAAGCTCAAAATAAAATAAAAAAAATCTTAAACTTAATCAGGTTAAAGCTCAAACTTGAACCTGAATCTTAAATTCATTTATATTATATTTTTAAAAAAATCACACACATAAATATGAATATTATTAATAATTTATCTTTTTTTAAATAATATATTATTTTTTTCGAGTAGTTCGTGAACTTTTCGAGTTAAGTATGAAGTAGCTCGTTTTGGTTTGTTTAGAACTCGAGTCGAGCTTGAGTCAAGTCTATTCGAATCAAGTATTTATCAAGCTTTGATCGAGTCGATCTGAAAGACAATCTCGAGTAGTTCACGATTTGACTCGTCTTATTTACATTCATACTCACAAGTTAGGTACGCAAAATAATCGGATTGGGTCATCGTTGGATACTCAAGACCAATTTGTACAATTTTTTTTACATAAATCATAGAACTTATAAGAACTCACACATGCAAACATGAAACTTAAAAAGTTCAATTTGCATAAAAAAGCATATACAAATATTTTATTAATTAAAAAATACACATGTACATTGCATATCGACATGACCCAAGAGTAGTCCATGTGAACTCAACTCACACATCATTCATTTGTCAAGTTAACAATTTTGAAATTATTTTTAGGTGATTTAAAAATATCTGATACGAAAAAGCTCGTTAAATAAATTTAATTATCATCATTCGTTTAACTTGAGCATAATTGGATTTTCATCATCTAGTTTTTATTAAACATCAGGATCAAAGCTAATATCGAGAGTCAGTTATACAGTAAAAAGGTTAAAACATTCTCAGTTAATACTAAAAATGTAAACAAACAATGGTTGTCCCTTTTTCCCATATATATATAGGGTAAGGGGAGGTAAGATAGTAGGCTACCCCCAACACCAGGTTGAGAGCAGCTTCTGCAAGAGACCTCCGAATTATGAAATGCCTTATGATAAGTTGTTTTATGGTGTAAGTTTTAAAGTGGATATGTTGTTGAATGCATTATGATAAGAGTGAAGTCCAATTTAACTCGAAAATAACAAAGAATTAAAATATAAGTTAATCGCCTAACTAAAATTTAGATAAAATGCCTAGATAGTTTTAAACTACATGATTGCTTATATTTTTACCAGCACTGAACTATTTTATTTTAATTAAATTAGTAAGTTATATCAATCAAGTCATTGATCGTTAATATTTGACAAAAATAATGGCGTGACGATTAAGTAAAATTATACAATTAGGGTCTGTTTGTTTAGTTGTAATTGGTTTTCCAGAAAATGAATTACTGGAATTTGAATTCTGGAAAATGAATTACATTTCTGTAAAATGAATTACATTTCTGGAAAATGAATTACATTTCTGGAAAACATCTGAAAAACGTTTTATGATGTTTGGAAGATGTTATTTAAACATTTTTTCGGTATATTTTAGTGAAATAAAATTTTATAAATTATATTAATTATTTATTAAAGTAATAGTACTATATTATATTTTAAAAATATTAATTACTAAAATATTATTGAAATATATAAATAATATTGAAAATATTATTGAAATATATAAATAATTAATATAATTTATAAAATTATATTTCAATAAATTATTTATTAAAGTAATAGTACTATATTATATTTTAAAAATATTAATTAGTATATTTTAATATCTTTACTAAAATATTATTGAAATATATAAATAATATTATTCATTATTAAATATATAAAAAAATTTATTATATATTATTAAAATAAAAATATAATATCTTATATTATTATAATATAATTGATTATTTTATATAATATTAAAAATATAATATTATATTATTATAAATATTAATAAATATATTTTAAATATTTTGATGAAAATGATATTAAAATATTTTATTAATATTAAATTCATAAAATAAAATTATTTTGAGTATTTTTGCTTTGAAGTGAAAAGTTCGGAAAATGACTTACGGAAAATGAATCCGTAAGTCATTTTACAGAAAACACAAAGGAAATTCTGTTACTAGGAAAATGAATTACATTCCGGAAAACGAATTACGTGAAACAAACACGGGAAAACGTTTTCCGGAAAACGAATTACGTGAAACAAACACGGGAAAACATTTTCCGAAAAACGAATTACGTGAAACAAACACGGGAATTCGGAGAAAACCAATTCCGTAATTCAAATTACGGGAAACAAACATACCCTTACACTATTAATCCTCATGCTTACTTAATACTTGGATGGTTAAATTGATTTTTAGTTCAGTGGTCAAAATAGAAGCGGTCATATAATTTAGTGATTGTCTTGAAAATTACCCTAAGCTTGCGGCAGTTTAATTTTATACTTTAACTTTGACTATTAAAAGTTACAAAATGGTCCAACGACTATAGAATATTGTTTTGTTGAGTCATTCGATTATTAAAAGTTACAAAATGATTACTTGACTATTTATTATGTTCCAAACTCGTCTTTTTTCGTTAAAAATAACGGTAGTTTGAGTTGGATGTTAACCTGATGACTGAGATATGATAAAATTTGATCTATGAATCTAAAAAAAAATTCATATATCAGTCACCAGGTTAACATCTAACTCAGACTACCATAATTTTTTTAACGAAAAAGGACGAGTTTGAAACATAATAAATAGTCGGGTGACCATTTTGTAACTTTTAATAATCGAATGACTCAACAAAGCAACACCTTATAATATTTGGACCATTTTGTAACTTTTAATAGTCTATGGACTAAAAAAACCCCTATAGTCTAGGGACTATTTGTGCACTTTACCCTTTTTAGAAGAACTTACGAATTATGATGATCTTCCTTTCAAATCTCAGACTGAAATTCTGTTTTGCATCGTGTCCAAATTGCACTTGTTGATCATTTTTAATCATTTCAACGAATAAAAATATAAAATGTTTCTCTGAAAAATCAAAGATTTCTCCCAGCATTTAACCATTTATAGATTCTTACATGTTTTTTCACACACGATCTTCATCTTCGTTTTATTCAGTAACGTCCTTGAAACTCATCAAATCCAAATCCCTGAAAATAAAAATTAAAAACCGAGATGGAGCCACGAAGATTCCATCATCTTCTTCAATGGTTTACGTTGTTGTTTTTGATAGGGAATGGCCACGCGAGATTCGTGGTGGAAAAGAGCAGCTTGAAGGTGACGTCGCCGGAGAAG